CGGGACCCCTGGAGACTTGTTCCCAGTGGATTCGTGGGTCGCGGGCTGGTTTCTCCCGGACCCGGGTGATGCAGCGGCCCGGGCGCAGGGACCGCACCGTGGTTATTGCCAGGCATGCCTCCTGTCATTGTGTGCGGAACGCGGGTCCGAGGGAGTTTTCCTGGCCCTGGCCGACTGTCCTGTAATGTTTGATGGGCTTGAAGCCCCCTGCACGTTAAGTGCAAAACGCACCCCGTGCCCAGCCTCCCTCCGCGGCCACCCTGCGGCACGGGATCGGACTCCGTCCTCGCATCGGCGTAGTCTAATGTGGTCGCCTCTGTTTACTGCCCTTTGTACTGCGCTACCTCAGGCCGGACCGTGAGCGCGTTTTTGGCCTGTGGCAACACTAATACCGGGTCCAGGCAGATCAGAAATGCAAGTTCATTGTTTATAGCTTTCAATGTAAATTTTCCCCAGGGTTAGACATAATCGTGGAGTAAATGTAGTTAGTAATCGGCTTCCTTCTCTATTGATCATGTCTCCCCGCCCCCGCTCCTTCCATGCTCAGTGTCCTTAATAAAGTATTACATCCAAGTTAGCCATGGCGTATATACATATTTGGTTAATTACAAATCGATTTCTTCTTTACAGCTGGCTACATGTATCCCGTTTGGGTTCCTGTCAAGCGCATCCTGTTCACAGCTGGTCTGCAAAGTACTGTATCACATTTTAATATTTAGCAAGAATAACATTTAGTAATAACATTTAGAACTGCCCAGACCTTGAGACCCTTGTCCTACTAACATCCCTACAGGGAGAAGAAAAAAAAAACACCCACATGCTAACAGAATAATTATCCTTTGCTCAAACTAAACTAACTTTGTTGTCCCAGGGGAAAGTTCATGCTTGTCTTTGTGAAGTGTGCTTGTTGTACAAGTGATTAAGAAAATTGAAGGTGAAGGAGGTCAAGGTTCGAATGTCGGTCAGGACACATGCCCCAGTTGGATCCCCAGTAGGGGGCGTGCAGGAGGCAATATATAGGTATATATACATATATATATATATATGAAGGTGATTACCCACAGCTGCCGCTTGGAGAACCTGATCTGGATTTGGATAGACCACTTCACCCTCCTTCACAGGATCTGGAGCCCCGCAGCAGGCACAATCAGCTAAAGGTAGACATCTGGCTGGTGTCTTAAGACCCAAGAACCAACAAAGTGAAAAGACCTCCCCCAGGGAGATGGGGTATCATCACCAGCCAGAGTGATTTGAGGAGAGGGCAGATATGGTTGAGGGGAGCCCTGGGGAAGAAGATACCTAGTGAGTAGGGAGATGTCATCTTCATAGTTTTCAAAGAAGCAACATAATTATGCATGTGAAGGTAATTATGGCAGTGTGACCAACGCCTAAGCCTGGAGGGCACAGGACCTACTGGGAACCTACTGCACTCAGGTGGGGAAGTTATTACTAGTCTGCACTGCATTTGGCCAAAAGGAACAGCAAACAGAGCCAAATGCAAGAAACAAATGTAAAGTGCTGCACAAAAATCGAAGACGCAGAGGCTAGAAAGGACTGGTGATTTAATGAGTATTTGTGGAGAGGGGATTATACCATATTTTCCAATCAGCTAAAAAACTAGCCTAGAGTTTGCTGGCCACAGGGTTGGTCCTCCAACTGTTAATTCTCTGTCCAAACTCTTTCTGCAGGCACCTATCACCTCGGCCTGGAGCTCTGCCAACTACCAACCCAGCATTTTTAGATAAAACCTTGTGAAAAGTTGTCCCCTCCTCTCTGAAATCAATAATATATATATACACACATACATTTCTCTCCCCCCCCTCTATATATATATATTTGGGAACAAAGACTAGCTAATCTATATCTATATGTCTATAGATATATA